CCAGTAGATGGGTTGGCCCCCCTCTTAAGATTTGTTGCAAACCCATCAGGAAACATTAAGTCCTTGATCCATTGGACTACAACCGTCCTATGCTTCTTTTCCAAGACGTAATCGCCCCTAGGCCTTCTCCATGTCTTGCCGGCTCTTGGTGGTCGCATCTCTAGGTGTGGTCTATCGCATAGCCTTGCTAGGTCCGCTCTAGCCTTAGGGTTGTCCTTTGACTTGTCAGTGTCCATGAGTGTTGCCCAGAGAGCTTCGGCGACATTCTTCTCAGTGTGGATTACATCAATGTTATGTGGTAGGGCCAGGTGCTTAAAATAGGGAAGCCTCTCTAAGCCCGACTTATGAGTCCACATATGTTGAACACCATACCCCACGAAACCAACTCCGTCTTCCTTGGCGACAAGACCATCTATCTGAGCAAGAACCTCGGCGCCAGTCATCTTCTACAGTTCAGTGTCTGTCACTACGACACCTTTCGTAAAGTTCTTAATGTCTCGTCTGAATGCATGGTCAAGAGGGAGGAATTGTCGATGTTTGTCGAACGAGGAAAACTTGCCACCACTCTTCAACCTAATGAACTGTAGAGCTGCCTTGCATACCGGGCATGGGAACTTCCCATGGACACACCAGTATTGAATAGACCATACATGAGAAAGTCATGCATCGAGTAGTGGTACCAAGCGTGCATTGTGAAGTTCCTCTTTGTAGCACGGTCGTATGTCATTACCCGTGATCCCATGCACTGATCAACTCATCAATTAAAGGCTCCATGAACACACCCATATGTTTTCCCGGATGACTAGGAATTATCAGCGACAAGAATATGTTCTGACGTTGAAGAAGGACGTCGGGGGGGAGATTGAGGGGGATAACGAAGATTGGCCAACAAGTGTATGGGGCCACCATCATTCCAAAAGGATTGAACCCATCATTGCAAATGCAACATGCACATTACTGAGCCTCTAGAGCTTTGTCAAGATAAATGCCATCAAATGTTTGCCATGCTTCACCATCTGATGGATGTACCATCTTGTCAGGATTGTATCAGATGCCATTTTTGTGCCATGTCATCTATTTCGCGGACTCCTCGCTCATGAATAGCCGTTGGAGTCTCGGTATGAACGGAAGGTACCGTAGGACTTTCATGGGGATTCCAAGCGCGCTTCTTTCCGCCCATCACTAGATTCTACCTCCACATACCTAGAGGACTTACACTTTGGACAAGATTACTTTGCTTTCGCGTGTTCTTTCCTAAAGAGGACGCACCGTTCTCGACAAGTGTGTATATCTGCTCATACGACATCTTAAGAGCTTTGAGGAGCTTCACCGACTCGTACATGTTCTTGACAAGCGTGATCTGCCGGAAGGTGGTCCCAAAAGCCAAAGATACTATCAAAGCATTCTCGACTCATGTTATGCATGGACTTTAACCCCATTAAGCGTCCAATGGCATCGAGTTGAGAAACATTTGTCTTGTCATGAAGGGGCCTCTTAGCCGACTCCATCATGCGATAGAATGCCCTTGCGGTTTCCTCGGCTCTGCGCTCCTCGGTTTCGTCTTCGTACATCGTTCATCGAAGTGTGCTTGGTGGAAGTCATCCATCATGTCCGGTACCCCACCATCACTATCAAACTCCTCCAAGCATGGCCTCAATGCCTCATCTCTAATCGATGGCCTTCACCATGGCACACCCATCGGGTATAGTCCGCATAAACCCAAACTTGCAAAGATGTTCCTCAATGACCTTCCTAGTTTTCCTATTCTTGTTTGCACATTCATTTGCAGGGACACCACACCTCTGTCGGCCTGCTTGAGCACCCACACCAAATGCTTTGTCCAAGAAATCCTCGGTCTTCAGTATCCATTCACGAGTGACCTGATTCTGACTATGGCGGCCCATGTACATCCAATCACGGTTATCCATCATCTACCATATATATATAACAGAGTAATATAACCATCAATAGCATATGCACCGCTTGCCTACTATCTAATAGGTAGGGATAGGTCCTAATCCCACCGCGGATGCGTAGATGAGGTTAGTTTCTATGCTCCGCTCCAATCCGAGATAGAATTTCGGCAGCACATCCCCGCTGTTCTCCCGATACACGTCCTGGAAGGGAGAGTGTGTATCCGGAGAACAACAGGGAGGTGCTGCCGAAACCCCATCTCAGACCGGACCGGACCATACAAACTAAATCATCTACGCATCCGTGGGCTGTCCAAATAACGTGGACAATCCAAAACAGATACGGTCGCAGATATGCAGAGATCCGCATACCTATGACCGTATCTCTTTCGGACAGGAGACGCCTAACTGGTTTACGTGATCTAGCTAGGGTTACGGACAAAGGGCTTATACCTAGGGTGGCGGTGGAGTGGAGAGGTGACGCGGTGCAGGCAGACCCGAAGGAAGACGCTCGGGGTACTCCGGGTCCCCTCCGTCGGGCTCTTCTCTACAAAACAAGAAACACAATTTATAAGTTCAAAATTTCGATAGAACCTCCCCTGTACGGGGAGGCTTCCAAAACCTGCAAGGAAAAAGATGGCACGATGGCCGACATCCACAATTTCGGCACGATGGCCGACACAGCGACATATGGCACGATGGCCAACACATCCATAAAAGGCACGAAGGCCCACTAATCCAGAAATGGCATGAAGGCCAACAACAGGCGGGAGGGGGGCTTTACCTTGGGTGGCAGTGTAGTCGGGCGACGCGGAGTCGGGATCACCCTCGTCTTCGGCTAGACGTAGGGAAAACGGCGACGACCGCTCGGCGTGACGCGACGACACGGGGGCGTGACGGTCATCGGCCTCTCCTTCTCCCCTCCTTCTCCCCTCCTCTCTTCTCCCTTCCTCTTCTCCCCTACTCTCCTTCTCCTCTCCCTCTCCTTCTCCTCCTCTTCTCCCCTCCTCCTCCCTTCTCCCCCCTCCTCTTCTTCTCCCCTTCTCCTTCTCCTCTCTTCTCCTTCCTCCTCCAAATGCTCTCACGCTGGCGGTGGGGCATGGGCATGGCCGGGGCGGCTGGGGCCCGGCAGGGGGGCCTGTTGGCCGTGGGGTGGGCCACCGGCCAGGCATGTGTGGGTGTGTGGGCCGGGGACGTCTTGGCAGCTCTGGGGTGGGCCACCGGCGGGTGTGGTGGGGGCTCGTGGGGGCCGAGGACGCACTGTCAGTGGGGTGGGCCACCACGGCTGGTGTGTGTGGGGGGCGGCGGTGCTCACCACCCGGGCGAGGAGGGGGGACGACCGACCCCGACGACGACGACGATGGGCCTTTCGGCAGGCCGGGCTGCTGCTCGCTGTGCTGGGGGGGGGGCTGAGGCAGACTCTGGTGGTGTGTGATGGGGGGGGCGGGGAGAGGCTGTGGCATGGGGACCGATGGCCAGAGAGGAGGAAGGGATGCAGGGTCTTGTGGGAGAGAGGAAAATTTGAGTGGGCCGTGAGTGGTTTTATATGGATTGGGCCTTTGCCGAGGGCCCCGATCCAAGGCTCTCAAGCAAAGTTTTTTTTAATTTTTTTAAAAACTCTTTTGCCGAGAGCCCTTTGAGGCTCTCGGCAAATACAATTTTTTTTTTTTTTTTTTCCCAATTTTTTTCGGTGGCTAACAATAATATTTAAAAGACATATTTAAAATTTGGAGTTTTTTTGATTTTGTTAGCTATATTTAATAAGTTTATTTCATTTACTTGAATTCTTCTCGGTAATTCAAATTTAATTCAAATTTGAGCTAGTGAGTGCATCGAATATTGGAATTAAGTGGTTTCAAAAATCATATTCATGGTATTGCATGTGGTGTGAGACCGTATCCATCTCTGAGATCAAACCCACTCTATTTTTTATCATACGGCCTAGAACATGCGTGAAATGACACCTCGACAAGTTTTGTGAATTTCGGACTTCGCTTCCATTTTATATAATTTAAAATACTTTTATACGCAAGTTCAAAAATTCACGTTGTGTGTTAAATTTGAAAACGATGCGCCAAATTTGCATCTCATTACTAGATACTAGACGGTCTCACACCACATGCAATACCATGAATATGATTTTTTGAATCACTTAATTCCAATATTCGATGCACCTGCAGTTCAAATTTGAATTACTGGGAAGAATTCAAGTAAATGAAATAAACTTATTAAATATAGCTAATAAAATAAAAAAAGCTCCAAATTTTAATATGTACTTTAAGGTATAACAGTAAACCTAGGGAAAAAATTTGGAAGCAAAAAAAAACATTTTTTTGCCGAGGGCACAGAAATGACACTCGGCAAAGTAATTCTTTGCCGATGGCCAAATTCTGACCCTCGGCAAAACAGACGGCAGGTGAAGGCCGTTTGCCTGCCGTCATAGGTTTGCCGACGGCCATGTTTTGCCGAGAGCCAGCCCTCGGCAAAGATAAACTTTTGCCAACGGCCTTTCTTTGTCGACGGCCGGACCCTCGGCAAAGGGCCCGGTTGCCGAGAGGAATTCTTTGCGGACGGCCTGGCCTTCGGCAAATATGGTTTTGCCGACGGCCTACCGTTGCCGAGGGCCGACTCTCGGCAAACCTTTCTTTGCCGAGAGCCCGACATTTGGCTCTCGGCAAATACGCTGGCTCTTGGTAACGGGCCTGTTTCCGGTAGTGTTTGTAGGGGCGGTTGATACTGTAGCCGCCCCTACAAATCGATTTATAGGGGTGTTCTAGGAACACCAGCCGCCCCTACAAATCGATTTGTAGGGGCGGCTACAGTACCAACCGCCCCTACAAATCATTTTTCTACCAAAAAAATTTAAATTTACAATTCAAATTCGACCAGAACATGTATTTTTCATGCATAACTCTATCATGACTTATCTGTGTCTGAACTTGTACATGTAGGATGGGCGTTGGTCAGGCTTGATAAGCAAATATGAGACAAGTTTTCAGATGCTTTGCGAAGACTAAAAATGAATGTAGTCAAGTACTCAACTAGATCTAATAGCTACACATCAGGAAAAAATAATACTATGAGCTCTTATTCTTCTCCCGACACACCTGCTACCCGACCACAGACAACTCTATCGACATTATAGATTTGAAACGCCTTGGAAACTTCCTTCTCATTCTCAATCGCATCAGCTATCTGCAAATTAGATAATATAAATAATGGTGCTCCAAGCAGATAAAACTTGGGTTCCTAGCAACCGCACTTCATTTTAGACAGGTTAAGGCTGTGCATGGACCATAAATACAGTTCTAGTTTCATGAACATGGAATGATGAGTTGCTTTGATTGATGATACTGGAAAATCAGGTTTAGTGGACAGCCATTAGTCAAGTTAGTCCATGTAACTAAGAGAACTTATCAAAAACACTACCTCAGGATCTGCAAGGATTGTCTCATCAAGAACAGGGCCATTAGTGTGGACGTCGTGGCTCCGAATCTGGGAGCTGCTCCATTCCGGCAATCCAGCATTCTGGTGTAAAAACCATTGATTTAAATAGAAAGCACATGGAAGATATGCTAATGCTACAAATAATAATGGCTGCTAATACATACTGATAAGAGGTATCCAAGATCGATGTGCTGTGTTTTCACCAACAAGACATGCTTTGGTTTAAGCAAATCTGTTCGCCCAATGATGTCATCCAGCTTCTCATAACCCAACCGAGCTAATGCAGCTCGAACCTAAATGAATTAACCAATTTTCAAAAGTTACAATTATCCCTAAAAAATAGGCAGGTCTTGCAACAATCAAGGAATAAGGCTAAGACAAACAGCATCAATAATGAGAATCATGACATACCTCCTCGGCAACAAAGAGGAAGTAGTTAACCAAAGCCATATTCATCAGCCCCCATAGCAGCAGCCATAAGAACATCTTGACCACTCCTGAATCCACCATCCACCCTAAGTACTACCCTCTCTCTCAATTCATTTTGTATAAGTGTCTGGAGGAAGTTAACTAGCATTACAAAACAGAAAATAATTTCATGGAAAAACTGTTACAGCAAAAAAAATGTAGGAAACCTGATTTGTTTCTGTAAGACCAAGTTCCCAAGGACCCCCAGCATGTTTGATGGAGCTGATTGGGCTAGCTCCAGTACCACCATCATGACCTGATATCTGTGTAATAGAATAGTTATTTAGAAGACAAAAATAAGTACACATAAAACTCTAATTCACCCAATACAGCAGGCCTTTAAGAGAACCATTTGCAAGCAATTGAATAAGAGCTCATAGTATGATGTCCTGAAATGCTGCAGCATTCCGTGATTTCAGACCATGTGTAGCTATTATTTTTTCAGACCATGGCATCATCCTTCTCCAGACACACAGCACGCTGGAAAACATGGCATGAGGCATAACCATATAAGGGAAAAAACTGAGCTACTGTCGAGAACAGCTTGCATCACTTTCATGTTTTATTTTACCAGCATGAGTTTAAGATACTACTGCAGTTTTTTTTACTTGCAAGGCTGTAACTCGAATGGGCACAATGCAATACATCAACCACTGAATGGATGGACCTGCTCCAACTAATGTTTCAGCTACTTGTTGTACTAGCATAATATTAATGATATCTCTATTTTGCTATCCAGGAATAATTTCAGTAGAAAAATAAGAATAGAAAAAAACTATAAAGATATGTTAAATTGAAACAGGTGAGATCGCAAGCATAAACATGCTAATTGTCCAAAATCCATGCAGCGCCGCCGCTGTCCTGGATCCGCCACCTGTCGGATCCCCATGAGTGACTGAAATCATTTTAGAAATTAAATTGTTCCAGTAGGTGGAACCACCAAACCAAGTAGTAAAAAATGCATATATTAGTTTCTGATGCTATGCATATTAACAACTTGTACTATAAAAATGTATAAAGAAGAACCTCCTGTTATAGAATCAGGAATGGTTTAATAATTCTTGCAACCTGCAGGATTTAGTAGAAGTATAATTAAAACAACTAGCATAAGAAAAACAACCAGCACAGGATTTAGTAGACATAAATATTTCTAAGTCTGCAGTTTGTCTCAAGAATCCATGAAAGTATGTTTATAATGAAAGGCAGATAAAGCACCATTTTTAAAAGTTGTTTAGAAGGACTAAACAAAGAATAGATTAAGCTCGTGAGAATCCATGAAAGCTGTTGAGTCGTCAGATCTTTTTTTCTTCTCAATTAAGCTCGTGAATAGGATCATACAAGAAGAAATCTGGTTCGTGGCACATCTAGAGTAAAGTTCTAAAGACTAATAAAAAAACAATCCGCTTGCAGCTTCGAATATAATAACTAAAAAGCAGCAACCACATTGCCACATTTTATAATGAAAAAAGAACCACCGGCAATAGATCCGAAACATCTAAGAACAGACATAAAACAAGCATATCTTATAAGAACCTTATTATCAAAAGAAAACCAAAAACTACATGGGGCACAAGAGTCGGTGCTTATATTATCTAAAAAGGAAGCATAGGGATGAACTAACGACAGGCCAAGTGCATCCATCAAACACATTGACCAGATCTAAAAAACTAACCAAAAGCACCAGACGTATGAACTCATAGTAGCTATACAGCCAGAAAAATAGAATGCAACCAGATTTTAGCTTACGGAAAGATGCGGAGGTTAGAGCTTCTTACTTCAGGTGACGGCTGGTACGAACGAACATGTTTTGATTTTTCGAGATGTATAGCTTTTGTTATGCATTTAGATATACACTATATCTAGATACATAGTAAAAGCAATGTATCTAAAAAAACATCTTATAATTTAGAATAAAAAGCATAGTACATAGAATGAAGGATTCCAAGTAATTAAGATATGCCAATGATCCTGGTCTTAAAGTATGATATCCTTCTTGAAGCATGGCCCCCGAACTAAACTATATAAGAAGGGGCAAGGTATGCCCTAGGAGCAACTCATCTCGTCTCAATACATACTACTATAAGAATGATTTTTACGATCACCTTCATTTATTTAAAGCGAATAATCTGGGATAGAGGCACATCCTATACCAAATTTATAGTGCTCAACGAGATCTAAAACTTTCTAGGGTTTCTCTCTATCCAAGTGGCAGCGAGATTGGAGGTGTGGCAACACCAAGGTTAGAGGCATGGCATAGGAGCCAAGGTGAGGACCATGGGCTTGGCGTTCTCGGTGGCAGGCTCGATAGTGGTCGTGCTTTTTTTTTATTTTTTTATTTGGTTAATAGAAATGGACATGCTCCTCGTCTCTATAATAGAGACTTCTACTCAGATGCAAGTGAACACCTCACATTTGAAAAGCAGTATTGCCCGCCTATATGAAAAGCATGTAGTAGTAGGGATGCTAGGCGGGCTATTCGTGAACCCACAACAAAATTAATTTTCAGGATTATAACCCGTAAAAAGTAAGTATATTTGTGGGGTCACATATAATTCGCTTTGCATCCCTATGTAGTAGTGACATTGAAAGAGTGAGAACGGAGGACGAAATCAGTGTTTGAGGCAGGAGATAGCTTCGCCACGTACCACCATTCTTGCAGTTGTCAGGCTATCAGCATCGTGCTTAATTTGGCGGTAGCTATGCGTGAATGGAGGTGAGGGGAGACCATAGTCGATGCTATCAGGCGGCCCTGGAGTATGAACTGATGATTACTTTTTTAACAATAGCTTACGGTAGCTTTTCTGTGTGCCACTATGTAGCTATACGTCCTTAAAATAAATGCTCCCAGGAGGCAACATTAGACAATATGTTGCCGACCTAAAAACTGGAATTATTTGAGGTGCTTCTAGGAGGCAACATTACATAGTACGTTGCTGACCTGAAAACAGGAATTATTTGAGGAGGCAAGAAGGTGATAAAGGTGACAGGGGTTACAGCCTGAAGAGTAAAATGCACCATTGGTACTCGAATTGGGCTTTAGGTGCCATCTAATTCCTAAACCTGCTAATCATGTCACGTGAGGTCCAAACCACTATAACTTGAGTTAGTCTCCCCTACCGGCATGTGGGTCCTATGCGTTGGTGCCACGTCAGCATGTAATTAGTGTGTCATGCAGGAGCACTTAAGTTATATATGGTGATGATCGATTTGGATGCCACGTGACATGATTAGCATGTTTAAGAACCTAGGTCCACGACCAGCCGGCCCGGTGCTCACGGGGCTCATGGGTGAATAAACGAGCCATGGGCAAATAGAAGATGTGTCGTGCATGCATTGGTCAGTGATGAATAAACAAAACGAGTCTCTAACAACTCCACCGCAGTTAGTGATGCAACTCAACAAGAAGATCTACATATTAATGACTTGTCTTGGCGAAACGCGTCACTAATAACAGCCCCCACTACTGGAATCTCGCTTTTTTCTGTGTGTGCGAAAACACATAGAAAAATGCGAATACTGTCAGAAAAATATTTTTCTGACGGTGTACACTCAGAAAAATACACACAGAAATATAATGATAGAAAAATCGAATTTTTCTGTGGGTTCACCGTCAGAAACAATTTTTTTGTAGGTCTCACATGCATAGAAAAATTGTGTTCGCCCAGATTAAAACTAATTTTTTGTGTGTTAATCCACACAGAAAAAAGAAATAAACGCACAGAAAAACACATATTTTTTTTTGTCGATCTAGGTGAACTCACAGAAAAATTCATTTCGCCCAGATAAAAAAAATATTTCTGTGTAGCCAGCCTCACAGGAAAAAAGAGTTAAACACACAAAAAAATTATTTTAAAATAGTAGCAACAACATATTAAAATATATATTTTCGATACAGTAATTTTTGTGCATGACCAACAAGGTTTCATTCAAATAATATCAAGCAAAGAGTTCCCAGCAGGGTTTCATACAGTAGGAACAGCACCATGGGATCAGGGTTCCCGGCAGCAAGAATATCAAGCAAAGAGTTATGGGGCTCTAGCTCGTCGTGCCACAGGGGTAGCTTGTCGCCGGGATAAAAGTTCCTCTTCACGCCATTGGCATTTATCTGCAGTGCAACCAAATTGAGTTTATTTTGAACTACAAAAAGGTTTAAGCCAAGAGAACACAAGCATAGGAAATGGTAGTAAGAGATAAGTATAGGCAAAACACAAACACAGATTGTAGGTCACTGCATTCTTGCAGACTGAACATAATTTTTTACAAGGTAAACCTCAAGAAAATGAAAACTGAGCAAATAGATAGAATTCACTGAGTGGATGTGGTAAGCAAGTGAATGAATCAAGTAACAGAAGAGTAAACATCATGGAGTCTAGCAGCATTGAGATAAGGCGCATTCCAATTGATCTTGTACCTTTGTTCTAATTCATTTTGGTACAATCATTTTTTTAAACTACAATCCATTTTATTAATTGACAGAAAAATGTACAGCACCACACAAGAAGTTAAATGATCAAAAATTACGATTTTCAGTTACAGCTGATTGAGTTTCACTCCGAAAGCTATCAAAAGCATCATGCTAGATATAAGTGCCAAAACTAACATAAGACAATCCATGACACCCAACTAGTTCAGGTGATTGCTACATTTCAGTTTCTGGAGGGAATTGAGCATGAAAATTTGCACAAAAATAGAGAGAACTTACAGTGTACGGACAACCCCTCCACTAGCACCATCACGGGCTATAGCAAGGGAAACTACCTTCACCACAAATTTCTGTATATATGAACAATAGAAACATATTAGGAACATTGAGGCTAGTTGTACTCTATTCGCTTTACACAATTATAATAACCTTCAGTCATACTACTACACTAGAGAGTATCTCAATTCCAGGATCTAAGTAAGAAGGAACTTGGCGACATACATCCGCCTCTTCACGGCTCATTCCTCTTTCCATTCATGATCAAGAAGGGCATAAAGGTAATCTGGAACTGAAACACGCAATTCGGAGATAACATAACAAGTGTCGAAACAATATTTCT